GCATCTGTTGTAGCCAGTGGACAGTAGGCGCATATTCGGGTAGTTGTGTATATTTTACTTTTGTTGTACATAAACTTTGTGAAAGATTTAAATTTTTATACTTACGTTGCTTTTCACTTATACCTACCAGAATTCCCTCGAATATCTAACTGTGAAATCTGAAACCGTTCACAAGAAACTCTTGACCTTGTCTTTGAAGCTACGACAGTAATATCAAGGTAAGGCTGAATCTGCCCAATAGAGAATGTGTTGAAGGGTAGTAGACTTGTCTCTCCACGCCTTATACTGGGTGTCAAGGAATAAATTTCCCCTTTTAACAGATAATAAAATATTGTTTTAAAATCAATTTAGATACACACAATATATGCGGATGTCATATTTTAAAAATTATATATTCGAGGTGCCTGCTATTTCGATCGAAACACCCCTGTAATGCCGTTTTCATGTGGTTTAAAACCGCTAATCTTTACTTTTAAGGTATTCCCACAGAAAAGTCCAATGGGGTGAGATCTGGAGACCTAGCTGGCCAGCTTAGGTCTTCAGAGCGAGAGACGGCCTTTTCCGGGAAAAATTCTCGAACGACTTCCATAGATGCTCGGGTCGTATGTGCGGTAGCGCCGTCTTGTTGAAACCATGTTTCTTGATCAAAGCCATCAAATTCTTGTAGCAGAGATACCAAAAACTCTCGAGCATTGCACAATAACGATCACTAGTCAGGGGCCGTTCAAGTATTACGTAAGCAGATTTATTACAATTATTTACCCCCCAATCCCCCTTGTCAGCAAAAGTAAGCAAAGCTCTTACCCCCTCCCCCCATGCTTACGTAAACATTTGTCAATTAATGTATTGTTTTTTTAATATCATAATTATAACGTTATAATTATAAATTGAAAAATAAGAAAATAGATTTAGCATAGATATTATATTTTACTGATACGGTATTTTACATAGAGTAAAGGACAAAAGTATTATATCTTACTAACACAACAAACTTATTTTAAATTTTTGGTACATATATTAAATTCAAATTAACAGTCTTCAGTCCATGAAACCCGAATCCATGATTCTAAGTTTTCGATGACATTGGATTGCTTCGATTGCTGCTCAGTGTTGTGAGTTTGCTCACTTTCATTGGATTTTGGAATATCTACGTCATTCTCATCAAGCCGTTCAATATCATGGTGCTCTAAATTTTGAACAATGCACATCAGTTCATTAGCACGACGAGCAGCGACTCTTACAGGTCTAACTTTCCTATCAGTGTGCGTGTTTACTTTTTTATGGATATTTTCGATGTGACGATTTAGTGACTTGACGGAAGCATGATAAAGACCACACGTTTTGCATGTTCGACTTGATAGCCTCAATTTTACAGTCGGACAAAAATAATCGTAGGGCATTTGCAGAAAATCTTTGAGTGAAGCACTTAAGGGTAAAGCTAAATTAACTGGAAGATTAAGAAATTGCCCTCCTTCATCCAAAACCAAGTCATCAACTGTTTGTTTTACTTTTACAGGTGGTGGAAGAAACCTAGTCTACTAATCTAAATAGGCCACATCTTGGACGACAGAATTCTGTATTTCTACATTTTACAATTCGAAGCAAGTATTGGCTCTCACGCACATGTCCCGAATACCATTTAATGTCTGGAAAATCAGGAAGATCTTTTTCACCTGCCCCAACATATTTTGCTTTAACATTATAGCCATCAATTTCCATTGATCTCTATACTTCAGCTAATACATTTCCTGCAAATTCGAAATTAGATCTTTCTAAATGTTTATCAACTGTAACGCCACGTTCATCCAAATGAGACCCAAAATGGTCATGAGGCAATATTAAACCAGCCAGTTCCCGACTAAGAGCCATTCTGCGCTCTACTCTGTTATACGCACTTCTTCCAGGAGCATTGGTAGCTAAAAACAATGCATCGAGATCATGTCGCTTAACGTGTTGTATAGCAAACCCTATGACTTTTTGATAACGTGGATTCTCATCTGGCCCTCCATCAACCGTGACTACCACTAGTTTTACTAGTCCATGGTCAGTTTTAGCTAATGGTCGAAACTCTTCAAGTTCGAGAAGCGCCTCGAAATCCTGAGCATGAGTATTAGCAGTAGATGAACTATGCTTTCCACTTCGAATAGCGATGTATGTTGGTCCAGAATATCCAACGGCTTGCGGTTGTCCTAGCATATTGGAAGTGATTTTGATACCAGGATAAACAGATGGTATTAATTTATGACGCTCAGCGATTACCCAATCGTGATCAGGCAATTTGATTCTATATTCCATGTGTATTAGAAGAGATGCTTGCTTATTTGCCGCAGTTACGCCAATAGGGACTCGAGCTTTATCATCTTGAGATATGAAAAATGCTTGATCTGGTTCAAGTATGGATGCTATATTCTCTAAATAATGGAATGATGTTTCAGCGAACTTGCTATCTAAGTGGCTCTTGAGGTGATCAATTTGAGCCCGAATGAGCTTAACAGGGACTGTCGATACATGTCTTCGTCCCTCTGCAGAATTAGATTTTCTGGGAATCAAACGAAGATATGTCCCACTGCGACTAATGTCAAATCCTATTTTACGTAATTCTTGTGTGAGTTCATCAAGAGTTTTTACGCTGCGAATTGATTGCGTTCGTCTTCTATCATCTGCTGCACTCCCAAATAAAGCTATATCCGCGATTGTTTTTAATAGTGAATGTTGATTGCTTTCAAGATTTGGACGTCCCACTGAATCCCTCAGAGATAGTATTTTTTTTATTTCTGGATTTTCATGACAAATATCTTCTAACTTTATTTTCATACCATCCCTGTGTTTCTTCTGGGCTACTGCGTTTTGAACCTTCCTGTTTAAAGACTGTTTTGCTGTTTTTATTTGATCGCGCAACTTAATGATCTGTTTATCAACTTCAGCACGGCTTGGCATAGTATCTCTGGCAGAACACAAAGCATTCAGATTTTTTTCGAGGAGAGCAATCTTATTTTTCATAGCTTCCTGAGAAGGTCTTGCTCTCTGTTGATCTGTATTTTCATTAATTTCGCATTGCTGTTGTGATTCATTACCGGGTTTTATTTTATCTTCTTCCTCTTTTTTAATATTTGAAGCTGACTGTGTAATTTGTGTTTTTTCTGCAGGTTTATAGGTTGCCTAAAAATAAAAACTTTCTATGGCTTCTGCTACAGATTCTCTTACTAAGCTACATAAATACAAAGTATCGCAATATATACGGTAAATACAAAACCCAATGGTTTTAAACCTAATATGTTTAACCGAGCAATTCGTTCCGGTCACAAAATACAGGGTGTTAGTTTTCTGTATATATGTATAAAACTAACATCCTGTACTTTGTGGCCAATATAATGAATATTACCTCTATACTTTGAGATAGGCCATAATATTTTCTAATCAGTAAAGAGAAACTTCTTCTTAGGATCCTACCTCTAACATAAATGTGTATATTTTTTTAAATGTTTCTTCCACACGAGCTACCCGAGTAAATTTTGGTGCTTCAGTACCGACAATGTCCGAACTCTTGTAAATATATACCTCTTGTATAAAAGAATCGCAATGTGTAACTTTAAATCAGTATTACTCTATATCTTGCTCAAAAATTCGATGTTGTGGATCTTTTATACCAGATGAAACGTTTCAGTATTTCCTGTTTTGTAACATTACTATCAACTTTTACATACTCATCGTAGTCTTATACATTTTTTTAGTAGAATTATTGCATGTTACCTTTTTCTAATAGAGTTGTTTACTGGTTGAGATCTGTTACCATTTTGAATATAGATTCTAGTTATTTAAGATTGCCCTAGTCTCTTACAGTCTTTTATAACTGAGATTAACTGTTTTGTATAATGTACATTTTATATAAATAAAAGGATTCATATGTATATACTTGCGTTTGGTGTTGGAAACGTCATCTTGTACATATTTGCAGCCATATTTGTTTAAATGGGCTTTTTGATTTTCAGCAGTGGAGATTGTTCGCGTTGTTGTAGATTCGTTGTTTCAAGGACACCAGAGGCAAAAAATACTTTTAGTTCTTTTAGCATGGTGACCATTTTAAACGTCGAATAGAAAGCTCAAAGCTCGCTTTACGCGATAACATTTACTTTACGTTGTTTGGTTCTGTACATAACCACATACAAAAAAAACCTATTCCAATTTTATTGCCTTAAAAGCGAGAAGAATTTGTACATATGTACAAACTTTTAGGTAAGTACATCATAGATTCTCGGAAAAATATTGTCTAATAAATATTGGATGCGCCAAAACTAAAGTAAGACACCTGCGTCATAAAGCACAACACATTTATTCAGCAGACCTTCATCTCACCTCCATAAGACCGATCTTTTTATGACTCCAATCCGATTCAAACAAATTAAAGCTAAGTGCAGGCAAGAATTTCGAAAGTATCTCATCGAAGGTAAGACATTTCATGGAATAATTATTATGTTGTTACTAACACATTCTGCAACCATATCAAACTAAACTTCGAATTAAACGATGCTTGATCAACATATTTTTCATCTGCACTTCTAACGTTTCCTGTTAGCTAACTCACTACTCTGTGATATTAACATCACTACTACTTCTTACTATTGATTATCTTTGCAACAAAAATTTTGTAACAATTTTCATTAGATTTCAAAACAATGAAAAAAAATCGGGTTCAATGCTAGAACATGTGCCTAAGAAAAAATTGGTGTAAAATAATATTACGAAATGATGTACAAACATTTTGTTGATATGCTTAATTGTAAATATCATTGATGAAACTAGAATAGTTTAGAACTTAATGTCCCGTTCCATGCTGCTATATTTTTATCAGATACAATAAGGTATGCTGCTTTTGGTCTACACATTTACCAAGTCTGTGTATACTAACTGCAACTGGTGTAAAGTCATTATCTATAACATGTGGGGATAATTTTGTGTATGTTTCTCGTATGTGCTTTGATTGTTGATAGTGATCGAGGTACCTTGGTTGAACTAAAAAAATAATTATCACTCAATGTATAGCCAGATTACCATATCAAGCAAATGTATGTGAGATACTTCTATCACTATCAGTATTGTTACAGAATGCGCCAGGTCCTGAAACAAGCATAACCAGTCCATCGTTTTGCCATTTGAGCTGGTCTATTAGTCAACCTATTTGCCACTTTCCGTTCAAAAACATCTGCTATTTTTTTTCATTTAGCATGAAACAGTTGAAATACACAGGATCCAATGTATTATGTAACAATACCGCTAAGTTTATATAATTTGATTCGAAACTAATAGTAGTCAATATTACAGGTACTCAATCCTCTAGACGCCATATGCGACAAGCCAAGGGTTGAAGCCATTTGTGTGAGTCAATTGCAAAATGCTAAGAAGATTGACGAATCAATTCTGCAAGAACGACCAGATGTGAAGATCTTCTTACCCTTCCGATTTTTGTTCTATAAACCAGAAGAATTGTTCAAGCCCAACACATACAACAGATTTTTAGGTAGGTACTTCAGAATGCGAAGGGATATTAGAAAGTCCTTAGGGATTTTTTTACGTAAATAATGATATTAACATTATTTTCCATACTCTCTCCAAGTTTTCCAAAACTGTGCTTAGTAAATTCCTTCACATTTCAGCTGCGCCCGGAGGCGACCACGTAATAAGTTTGATAGACGAAATCTCCTTCAAATTTCCACCGTCTCCACCACTGTCTCAATTGGATGACCTTGACCAGGATATGTTCTGCAATGGAGATAACAGACCCCCAAATTGCGGCAAGGACTGTCAGTGCGTGCATACTGTGGACATACCACTGAATGCCATAGTAGAAGTGGTCCTAGTAGACGAGGGTATGTATCAATTGAATAAATCAGTTCAATACACCGCCAAAGAGTACTTAGACTCATCATTGCTTCCTCAGCGTCTTTCTGAATTCTTTATTTCTTATCTTCTTATTTTTTCCTTTGCCTTGTATTTTGGGATAATATCATAACATTTTATCTACTTTCTATGTCATTTTATTTTATCCATTTATTTTCTCAACGTTTTTTGGTTACTAAATTACCAGATATAAGATACTCAGAAAACCACATCCTAATGCTATATCTTAGAATCTTCGGACAGATTTGACGATGAGCAATATCCAAACATGACAACAAATACAAACAGCTTTTCTTGTCTACCCTGCTTCTTTATATTTAAGTTCAAGTACCTACATTTGTTGATTTGATGCTATATTGTGGAAGGACTACAACAGATTTCTCAATAATGGTGCATTTTTAGTAATATACAATGATACAGACAGCCTCATAGAGAGTTGAATCGACTATACTCAGGCAGCGATAAGGAGGGAGCAGCAGACCTTATCGCATGTCACTGTAAACGAGGTATCTCTTTTGTGATACGGTGGGATACGCCGGCAGCAAATTTGCTGGTTCAAAGGCATGCCGCGCCAGCAGTGGCGTGCGATATGTTTTACGACTTGCCAGCTGCGATTAAACCGCTCAGTTCCCATCCGGACAAGCGCTTGTAGTCTTTTTCTAAGAGGAGTTGACTTGTACCGTACATAATATTATATGAATTGATAACAGCATTTCGCAATAAGCTACTTGACGCAATTTTTCCTTGCTGCATGAAGTATCAGATAAAGTATTTTTCTATTTAACAAATTAATTTTGTTTCAGTTCAATCTCCCAACCTAAGTCATCCGTTCCACCTTCACGGCTACTCATTCCACGTGGTGGGTATTGGTAGATCCCCCGACCAAAACGTAAAGAAGATCAACTTGAAACACGCTTTAGATTTGGACAGGAAAGGACTCCTTCACCGGCACTTTAAGTTGCCTCCTTTGAAGGACACAATTGCGGTACCCAACAATGGATACGTGATCTTGAGATTCAGGGCGGATAATCCAGGTACTAAAAATGGTTTGTTTTGAGCTAAAAAAAAAAAAAACGGGAGATCCCATTGACTGAAGTCATATTCGATTTCAAGTCAGAGATTCTAGTTAGCTATGGTCAACATTTGCGCTGTTTGGCATAGCTTAAACTGAAATACCAGCTGAAAACCTCTTCATAATATACATAGTTTTTATACCAATCACACCTCTTCCATGTTAGTTCGGGCTAATATATATATACACATCATGTATAATACACCATTATATACTAAGTGACATATAAATCCGAACACCCAGTTTGAATGGTTTTATTTTAATAAAAGTTGGTGAATGTATTTATCTTACTGTAAATAACAAGTGAAAACATTTTCAGCCTTATCAATTGGACAATCCGGTTTTTATACTGCTTTTTTTTATTCACTAACGCTCTAAAAATGAATATTTCAGCCGCAGTAAAGAATCAACGTTGGCGGATTTTGGTTCTTGACATCCTTTACGATCGGTTACGATGCCTAGAGTACGGAGACCTGTACGATTTCGTCAACTTAGTGAGTTTGATAGGGGCCGTATAGTGGGACTTCGGGAAGCTGGACCTTCTTTTCGGGCAATTGCAGTTAGAGTGCAAATAAGTGTAGACACTGTGGTTAGGTGTTGTCAGGCATGGCTTCGAGAAGGCCGTACGCAAAGAGCAAGGGGCACTGGACGCCGCCGTAGAACAACAGACCGTGAAGATCGCCGCCTAAGATTATTGGCCTTAAGGGACCGTTTCTCCACTACCAGGTCCATTGCAAATGAATGGTTTGCAGAACACGGAAGACCTATTGGCATGCGAAGTGTTTACCGACGAATGAGAAGTTTTGGCTTGTTTTCATACCGGCCACACTGGGTCCTCCCTTTTAATCGAGAACACCGACGTAATCGCCTTGAGTGGTGCAAACAACGGTCACTCTGGGATCAGGAATGGCACAGTATTGTCTTTAGTGACGAGCCTCGATTTTGTTTAGGCATGCACGATGGTCGTGCCAGGGTTAGAAGGCGACGTGGTGAAAGGAGGAATCCAGTTTTTTGTTGAAAGACATGTTCATCACACTGTTGGAGTTATGGTTTGGGGTGCTATAGCTTATGGTTCCAGGTCACCTTTAATCTTCATCAGAGGTAACATGAACGCGCAGCGTTATATCCACGAAGTTCTAGAACCCCATCTTTTACCCTATCTTGACACCCTGGCAGATCCAACTTTCCAACAAGATAATGCCCGACCACATGTTGCAAGAGTCACGATAGACTTCTTTCAACATAATGATGTCACATTGTTACCATGGCCACCAAGATCTCCCGACTTATCCCCAATTGAGCACGTGTGGGATATGATGGGTAGGAGATTGCTCAATTTGCAACGTCCTCCTCCGACTCTAGAAGCACTTCGAGAGGAGTTGGTGGTTGCCTGGAATGAGATACCACAGGAGGACATTGACCACCTGATCAGAAGCATGCCTACGCGCGTTGGAGAATGCGTAGCACATCAGGGTGCATCCGCATATTATTAAAGGTCAAAGAGCTTTAAAGCAGTGCAATCATTTTGAAATTTTTATCATTTACTTATTATGCTTCATTAAGTACTTATACAAAATTTTATTAAAATAAAACCATTTAAACTGGGTGTTCGGACTTATATGTCACTTAGTATAGGTATACGCGTTTACGGTTGTTATTGTATATGTCTTTATATTCATGTAGACAATGAATATATACAATAGCAAGTACTTAGGTAGCTCGATTAGAAAAGGTATAAGTAAATTTATCATTTATATATACAAAGTTATAGCGTAAGCGCCCATCGCTGGTTCCAAGCTAGTTCGCTCTTGAGGTTTTACAGTCAGAAGCGGAACTTTGAGTATTGTTATGTATCTACGAACTTTAGAGCCATTTTAAGTCGCGTGCCGCTAGTTTTGCTTCTCGAATAGACAAAGTTTGACAATCCAAAACTACAAGTCATAGTATGTATCTGTGAAAGAAGGCGTAAACAACGTATAACACTACTAACATCTTAATATTATTTTTGGATATATAGCTAGGAAACAAAACCAGACTTAAGACAAATTAATGCCTTGATGCTACTCCTGTGTCTTTCTTGATGTCGCGATTATTTCTCCCATAGAAGCTAGGTTAAAATTATCAAATACGGTGAAGTAACTGGTACTAAGTGTACATACAAGGAACCAGTTGTTCGCACTTAGACAGAACATCATAGATCAGAAGACAGACCCGGAACCAACGGGGCTAATTATAATTCAGACAGCCTTTTCTGTTGAAGACGTAGCACTGATTTTTATTATGCATTATGCTTGAAATTCTTGCTTAGATCTCAAGAAACAAGCAAGTTATATAGTACTCAAACGAGTAAGTGATATAACGGGGGGTATACAAACATATCTAGTTGTGATATGAAGAGTTCAAGATATAATGGTTTAAAGTAAATCTATGGCTGATTGGAGGTTAAGCAGTTTCTGTTTCCTTTCCAGGTTTCTGGCTGTTCCACTGTCACTTCCTTTTCCACATAGTCATCGGGATGAATCTGGTATTCCATGTCGGGACTCAGCACGACCTACCACCTGTTCCAGAAGGCTTTCCGAAATGCGGAGATCATTTACCACCGATAATGTTCTTATAGAAGTGACGCCACAGTTCGTGCGTCGAGCGGAATAATTGCAAAATGTAGAGATGCATCTTTTAGTTCTCGTATATCTGATGCAGAATTATTTGCTTGCATCCAGTCAGTATGACATACTAGCAGAGTTCCAGCCAATGTGGGATTTCGCTTACTCTTACCTCCAAATCCCGCAAAGCTACCAGATGGCCCTATTTAATAACAAACAAAAGGTGGTACCTAAAACGGATACGTCAATAATTTGGAAAGGCTATTTTTTAGTAACTACTTTCTCTGTGTATACAACTAAGTTGGTAAAACCTTTTGTTTTTTCTACTGATGCCGGTAGACTTCTGAGACATTTTGCAATTTTTTCGTAAATATTCATAGTTTAGCAAAAAGTGCGTGTGTGTTTGTGGATAGACCATTTTTACATGTGTTCAGTTTATCAAACATTTTTACATTCTCGTGATAGTGTGAACTTGCCATTGGCGTTTTTCTTATAGATGGACAATATATTTTTTTAAGTGTTTTGTATTAAGATGTTGTTATTCTTGTACAAATTAGAAAATAGAGTATTTATTCATTTCGACTGTACTGTCCACTACACAGAGGGGAAATTTTTATCAGTAAGACGGTAATTCCATTCCGTTTCTTCCACCTTCATAATAGTTTATAGGAGTCCAAGTTCATTCGTATTTTATAGTTCGGGATTTTTTTTGGAGTTTACTATAAACACTTCTTGATGCTTTTCAGACTGGACTGCTGAAGTCAGTATCATTATGAGTATTTTCATTAACTGATTCAGAGACTTTGCGTTTTCAATTAAATCCAAGATCTGAATCGTATTTGGGTGAAGTAGTCAATTTTACTATTACAATCAGTTGCCCCAGTAAAATTTTAAAAAGTTACGACTGTCTGATTCCTTGCATCTGTTGTAGCCAGTGGACAGTAGGCGCATATTCGGGTAGTTGTGTATATTTTACTTTTGTTGTACATAAACTTTGTGAAAGATTTAAATTTTTATACTTACGTTGCTTTTCACTTATACTTACCCAAATTCCCTCGAATATCTAACTGAAATCTGAAACAAGAAACTCTTGACTTTGTCTTTGAAGCTACGACAGTAATATCAAGGTAAGGCTGAATCTGCCCAATAGAGAATGTTTTGAAGGGTAGTAGACTTGTCTCTCCACGCCTTATACTGGGTGTCAAGGAATAAATTTCCCCTTTTAAAAGATAATAAAATATTGTTTTAAAATTAATTTAGATACACACAATATATGCGGACTTCATATTCTAAAAATTATATATTCGAGGTGCCTCCTATTTCGATCGAAACACCCCTGTAATGCCATTTTCATGTGGTTTAAGACTACTAATCTTAACTCTTAAGGTATTCCCACAAGAAAGTCCAATGGGGTGAGATCTGGATACCTAGCTGGCCAGTTTAGGTCTTCAGAGCGAGAGATGTCCTTTTCCGGGAATAATTCTCGAACGACTTCCATAGATGCTCGGGCCGTACGTGCGGTAGCGCCGTCTTGTTGAAACCATGTTTCTTGATCAAAGCCATCAAATTCTTGTAGCAGAGATACCAAAAACTCTCGAAGCATTGCACAATAACCATCACTAGTCAGGGGCCGTTCAAGTATTACGTAAGCAGATTACAGATTACAATTATTTACCCCACAATCCCCCTTGTCAGCAAAAGTAAGCAAAGCTCTTACCCCCTTCCTCCATGCTTACGTAAACATTTGTCAATTTATGTATTGTTTTTTTTAATATTATAATTAAAACGTTATAATTATAATTTGAAAAATAAGAAAATAGATTTGAAATAGAGATTATATTTTACTGATACGTGATTCAACATAGAGTAAAGGACAAAAATATTATATCTTACTAACATAACAAACTTATTTTAAATTTTTGGTACATACATATATTAAATTCAAATTAACAGTCCATGAAACACGAATCCTTGATTCTAAGTTTTCGATGACATTGGATTGCTTCGATTGCTGCTCAGTGTTGTGAGTTTGCTCGCTTTCATCGGATTCTGGAATGTCTACGTCGTTCTCATCGAGCCGTTCAACATCATGGTGCTCTAAATTTTGAATAATGCACGTTAGTTCATTAGTACGACGAGCAGCGACTCTTACAGGTCTAACTTTCCTATCAGTGTGCGTGTTTACTTTTTTATGGATATTTTCGATGTGACGATTTAGTGACTTGACGGAAGCATGATAAAGACCACACATTTTGCTTGGTCGACTTGATAGCCTCAATTTTACTGTCGGACAAAAATAATCGTAGGGCATTTGCAGGAAATCTTTGATTGAAGCACTTAAGCGTAGAGCTAAATTGACTGGAAGATTAAGAAATTGCCCTCCTTCATCCAAAACCAAGTCATCAACTGTTTGTTTTACTTTTACAGGTGGTGGAAGAAACCTATTGTCTAGTAATCTAAATAGGCCACTTCTTGGACGACAGCATTCTGTATTTCTACATTTTACAATTTGAAGCAAGTATTGGCTTTCACGCACATGTTCTGAATACCATTTAATGTCTGGAAAATCAGGAAGATCTTGTTCACCTGCCCCAACATATTTTGCATTAACATTATAGCCATCAACTTCCATTGAGCTCTATACTTCAGCTAATATATTTCCTGCAAATTCGAAATTAGATATTTCTAAATGTTCATCAATTGTATCACCACGTTCATCCAAATGAGACCCAAAATGGTCATGAGGCAATATTAAACCAGCCAGTTCCCGACTAAGAGGAGCCATTCTGCGCTCTGCTCTGTTATACGCACTTCTTCCAGGAGCATTGGTAGCTAAAAACAATGCATCGAGATCCTGTCGCTTAAAGTGTTGTATAGCCAAACCCTATGACTTTTTGATAACGTGGATTTTCATCTGGCCCTCCATCAACCGTCATGATTACCACTGGTTTTACTAGTCCATGGTCAGTTTTAGCTAATGGTCGAAACTCTTCAAGTTCGAGAAGCGTCTCGAAATCCTGAGCATGAGTATTAGCAGTAGATGAACTATGCTTTCCACTTCGAATAGCGATGTATGTTGGTCCAGAATATCCAACGGCTTGCGGTTGTCCTAGCATATTGGAAGTGATTTTGATACCAGCATAAACAGATGGTATTAATTTATGACGCACAGCGATTACCCAATCGTGATCAGGCAATTTGATTCTATATTCCACGTTCATTAGAAGAGGTGCTGGCTTATTTGCCGCAGTTACGCCAATATGGACTCGAGCTTTATCATCTTGAGATATGAAAAATACTTGATCTGGTTCAAGTATGGATGCTATATTCTCTAAATAATTTATTGATGTTTCAGCGAACTTGCCATCTAAGTGGCTCTTGAGGTGATCAGTTTGAGCCCGAATGAGCTTAACAGGGACTGTCGATACATGTCTTCGTCCCTCTGCAGAATTAGATTTCCTGGGAATCAAACGAAGATATGTCCCACTGCGACTAATGTCAAATCCTATTTTACGTAATTATTGTGTGAATTCATCAAGAGTCTTTACGCTGCGAATTGATTCCGTTCGTCTTATATCATCTGCTGAACTCCCAAATAGCTATATCCGCGATTGTTTTCAATAGTGAATGTTAACTGCTTTCAAGATTTGGACGTCAAACTGGATCCCCCAGAGATAGTATTTTTTTTTATTTCTGGATTTTCATGACAAATATCTTCTAACTTTATTTTCATACCATCCCTGTGGTTCTTCTGGGCAACTGCGTTTTGAACCTTCCTGTTTAAAGGACTGTTTTGCTGTTTTTATTTGATCGCGCAACTTAATGATCTGTTTATCAAGCACGGCTTGGCATAGTATCTTTGGCAGAATACAAAGCATTCAGATTTTTTTCGAGGAGAGCAATCTTATTTTTCATAGCTTCCTGAGAAGGTTTTGCTCTCTGTTGATCTGTATTTTCATTAATTTCGCATTGCTGTTGTGATTCATTACCGGGTTTTATTTTATCTTCTTCCTCTTTTTTAATATTTGAAGCTGACTGTATAATTTGTGTTTTTTCTGCAGGTTTACAGGTTGCCTAAAAATAAAAACTTTCTATGGCTTCTGCTAAAGATTCTCTTACTAAGCTACATAAATACAAAGTATCGCAATATATACGGTAAATACAAAACCCAATGGTTTTAAACCTAATATGTTTAACCGAGCAATTCGTTCCGGTCACAAAATACAGGGTGTTAGTTTTCTGTATATATGCATAAAACTAACATCCTGTACTTTGTGACCAATTGACGGAATCAATCATAAGAAATACATTTATAATATAATGAATCTTACCTCTATACTTTGCGATAGGCCATAATATTTTCTAATCAGTAAAGAGAAACTTTTTGGCGATTTCTAATATTGCTAGTACTCATAGGTACCTAAAATGATTTCGTCACTCACCTTAGAAAAAAAAATTGGTAGATTGGATTTATTTTTAGTCGCACACAATTCTACTTCGATTCTCTTAGATACAATAATATCTAGTTCCTTGTCGGATTTTGCTTGTAATTTGTAATTTCGCCACACTTCGTTAACAAACTTTTGTACACTTTGTACTTTCGTACTTGTATGAGATTTTTTAAAGCTTTCAAACAATTTTTGGTATAACTTGGATTTGTCTATGTGAAACGACATCTTATTTAAACATTAAACTTTGGCTAATGGAATCAATGGTAACACAAATGTTAACTTGTTTTACTATGCTCACAATACGTCTACTCGCTATAGTATCCAAACGAAACAATACACTGATAGAGGAAATTTAGACAAGTGAACACCGCGCGGTAATTCCCCTACTAGGTTCTAAAGGGAGTAGCGGAATTACCGCGCGCTGTTCACTAAACGTATGCATTATTTGCGGGAATCCCCGAAAATGCGTTTCGTTTTCAAGGAAAGACAATGTGAGGGTCGCCATTCGTGTAAAAAAGTAAATAACTACCGATGACGTAATCATCATATAGACTCCCCTACCCTCCATGTCATCCAAAATAAGCAAAGCCCCCCATAGTGCTCACGTAATACTTGAACGGCCCCTCATAGTCTGGGCTACGTCACGTTCGTTCTCGGACCGATAATTCCTGAAGCCGACATTGCACACCATACAGTTACTTTTGGGTCTTTCGTGCTTTTGCCTTGGATACTCTGGTGCCGAATAGCAACAATTTTGCGTCTGAAAGGTGGAACTGTGCCTCCTCACTGAACAAATGCTGCTAGTTTGGTCGTTTTGCAAAAGACACGGTTTCGGTTTTTCGGAGAAAAATAAAGTCATTTGGGCTCAATTCTTGTACAAAAACCTTCGTCTGGCAGTCATTGTTCTACGCTAAATTGCCCTGTTGCCAAGTTATTTGAGTTTAAAAAGGGACACTTGTATCACTGCAAAAGCTTATGAACGGATTTGTCGGAAGGATGGATGCTTTATGGATGCTAGTAAAAAAAAATTTCAACATCTACCACAAAATTTATTTGGTTGCGTTTTCAACAATTTTAGATTACACATTATACTTTAGAATGTACCACAAAGATACTTCTTCTGATTCTACGATTTCTCTTACCATGAATGGTTAGATACGATGTCGTTATAGAAATTGAGAAATCAACTCATCAAGAATTGTAACTTGGTAATATGTAATGTAGTGATATCTATGGTACGCTCTTGAATAAAGATAAATCGTCATACGTGTCGGTGAACAATTTTAAGAATATTGCGACAGAAATTACGATTTTATACTGAGAGTGAAATAAAAATATGTTTATTATTATCCATAACCGGTTTTCATGGCTAAGTCATCATAGCTATTAATCCATATTTTTATAAAATTAGAAAAGGAACCAATTTCCAGATTTGGCTCAAACCATGTCAGAGGCTGTCCGAACCATACATGCTATAGAATCCTGCTTACTAAACTGCCCACCACGCCCTTATCGAAAGCCACTGATTAAAAGAAGAAAGATTTGTCAAAGGGGACAACTTTTTACCCAAA